AATGCAAATTGCTATACCTAACTGTATTTCTACACAATAGAATAATCTGTGGATGAACGAAAATACTCTTCTATCAATGTAAAACTATTAACTGTTTTTTGTTGTTGTGACCAATATTCAAATTTGTAATTGGTTATAGAATTTTTGTTAAGAGCACATTGCGAAATATTTTAATTGATCGAGAACAAAATGAAAGGGCAAAAGCCACAGAGCGGGAACATGTAAGGAATATAAAATAATAAGTGCAGTTTTTTAGATAAAGGTTTGTGTTTTATCTTACAGTCACACATCATTGCGACAACTGCAAAAATGCTGAAAACGTTAATTTAGATTTTTAGTCCGTAGTTATAAGTTATATTTTAATTTATTTATTATCCATTTAATTAGTTTTAGATTAGTTGCAAGTAACTCTTGTTGTTGAAAAATTACATCAGTAAATACTTAAATATGTGAATAAACTAATAAGAGGAAATAAAGTATCGTTTTTCTTTCGTTACATACATGTACATTCACTGAACATACCATGTACATTCCCAGAACATACCATGAACATTCAGTGTATTAAATCTGACAGATTCCTGGGACATGCATGGAATGTTCATAATGTAACTCATGTATGTCCCAGGAATATGCATGTACATCACATGAAGGTTCCAGGTATATTCTGGGAATATCATTTTGCTATGTGGGTTACCTATACTAATGTTATAAAAATTAATATATTTAATGAATAATTTTTGAAAATAGTTTCTCACTAATTCAATAAACATCTTGGTCAGCTGTTAGCTTAAAACCGCTTAATCTCAGTCATTCCAATTTGTCTCTTGTTGTGTTTGTAATTATACTTTCAATAGCAATATAAACCGGAAACTAAAAAATATATTTTCTTAAAAGCTTAGGTAAATACGTTTAAATAATAATTTTTTACCTTAGGGTCGTTGAGCCCGTTTCCTTTTCTTTTATTGCCCTTTGCCCTTTAGAGAAAAATAACAACTGCCACGCAGAAAAAAGGCAAAGCCGGAAAACGCTCTCACTTAATCTTAGTCCTCACTATATAACTTCACTTTAGAAAAACGATTGAAGATTGAAGTCTCCCCATTTGACTATTGCTAAAACCAGTTCTAAGCAATAAAAAGAATTGTCTAAAACTTACTCGGATAAGCCCTCTATTACTAATCTCAGAACATATATACTATATAAGAAGAAATGTATTGCGAAAAGCTATAATCGCAGTTCAAATAACGCATAACAAGTTTTAAGATTAAACCGTAGATAAGTGTATGTCCACGGCATTTTTCTTTCAGCTCATATGATGAACTTGTATGATCAATCAGTAAATAATACCAGGTTTTTGAACACTTTTGAAAACAATAAATAACAA